CACGAAGGGCCGCGACGGGGTCGCTAAGGGGCCACGAAGGGGCCGTTAAGGGGCCGCGAAGGGGCCGCGAAGGGCGCTTCGGGCAGCAGGGCAGGAAAAAAAAGTTTAAGCTTAGTGGTGGGCCCGAGGAAGGATCGAAGTTAGCTCTATACCATGTGAAAAAGAAACAGTAGAAATGAGAGAGAAGAGTGGAGCGGAAGTGAGGGGTTCACTAGCAAACATTGGGATACATATAGCAAACCCTAAAAGGGTTGTACTCATTATAGAGTACCCCACTGCAGACTAGAGAAACATAATATTCTGACATGGCGAGAGCCGCCTTTACGAAGAATGAAGAAGACGCCTTGGTTGTCCACTCGAATGAGTACGTGGCGGCCTTGGATCTGGTCCGTGGATGTCTGCAGCGCCCATAACACTCCCTCGAGCTCTCGGCGTGTGCTCGATGTGGAGAGAAGTTCTTTTGGAATGGGGATGCTTCCTTGCGAGCTTCCGCCGGGGAAGGATGAAAGGGTTGCACCCCAACTGTGCGCGCTAGCGTCGACGTGAATGACCGTATCCAGACTGTGGGGCATGTGAAACGGGGCCCCGTTAAAACGGTCAAAATGGTCAAGCCAAGATTGTAGCTCGTCGTGAACCTCCGAGGTCAGCGTCACCCGTGCATTCCATGATGGCGCCTCATTAATGAGTGTCAAAAGTTGATGGCTGAAAGAGCGCGCCGTCGCGCCAAGGGCGAGCGCCATGGATGCAAGAATGCCAGTGACTCGGGCGACGAGGCGGATTGAAACCCGCTGGTTGCGCTCGTAAGCGAGAAGCAGCACACGTAGTGCTTGTGTAAGTTGCGCCTTTCTCTCCTGGCCGATAGTGAATCTCCCGGATGCGGTGTCCAGCTCCATTCCGAGGAAGTGCAATATTTGAGTCGCGGCCAGGTGTGACTTTTTTGCATTGATGACGAGCCCTGACTCCTTGAGGTCTCGAATGACTGCACCACTTTTCAAACGAGCGTCCTGTTCCGAGTCGCAAAGGAACAATATATCGTCCAAATAGGGTATGACCCGAATACCTTGCGCTCGCCATTTCCGTGCCAACTGCTTGATCAACTGGGTGAACAGGAAGGGCGCTGTAGCGAGGCCGAACGGTAACGACTTGAAAAAATAGGCGGTGCCTTCGAAGTGAAAGCCTAGGAATGACCAGCAAGATGAATGAATATCGATGTGATGATAGCCAGACTTTAAGTCAACCGAGAACATCCAGTCGCCCGGCTTTGCCAGTTCAGCGACGCGAAGAAGACCTTCGTACTTGAATTTGGGGACAATGAGGTATTGATTGACCTTTCGCAAGTCGAGAATGAGGCGGCACTTGTTGCGTTGTTCCGCAACATTGAGTGGGCTGATCCATGTAACGGCCGATGAGCTAGACGTGAGCAATTCCTGAATTGCCGATCGCGTGAAGTCGGTGTGCTTCAAGACTCCGGCGTGATTTTGATCGCGAAACGGCGGCGGTGAGAATGCCTTCCGAGGAAGCCAATATCCATTAGCAATGACCGACAGGATCAAGGAGCTCTCGCACCACGAAGCCCACCAAGCGAAAGCCTGTCGGAGGCGACCACCCATGATGGTGACGTCGCGATCGGTAACTGCAGTTGCCAACATCTCGTCCTGCTCCCCTGACAATGAAGGCGTGGCGGCTGCCATGGGGTGTTTTGTTAGGGGATAGCAGGGGTACGGGGTCGAACCATGACGTTAAATTACGTGATATGTAACCGCGCGCACGTATGAGCGGATAATTCACTCACAACGACGTGCAACTCGTGGGTCTGACAAGGGTAATGAGATTGCGAGTGCGCGTGAGTGAGGTGCGGCTGAGAATCAGTTGGATTCAATAGGTATCAACCCCCTTTGTGGGTATCAAAATGAGAACCAGTCAAGTGAGGGTCCATGCGCGTCGTGCGTGCGCTTCTCTTTCTTCTTCTTCCTCTCTCTCTCTCTCTCTCTCTCTCTCTCTCTCTCTCTCTCTCTCTCTCTCTCTCTCTCTCTCTTTCTCTCTCTCTCCCTCTCTCTCTCTCTCTCTCTCTCTCTCTCTCTCTCTCTCTCTCTCTCTCTCTCTCTCTCTCTCGCAAGGCACGTTAGCCTGATGGCTTGGTAACAAAAGGTACTATTGTCCAACGAGAACTCACTATGCCTTGCCATGCCAAGCATTGTTACTTGCTCTTGCTATTGGGTTGGTCGTTGCCTTCCCATACCCTTCTCCCTCTCTCTCTTTCTTCCTCTTTTTTTTTTTTTTTTTTTTTTTTTTTTGACATAACTTGTCATAAGGCTGGATCTCCAAGGCCAACGACCTGAGCAACATTCCATTATAATTAGAAATACAAGTTCATGGCCACCCGGGCTTTGCGTAAGAACGCACACACACGCGTACACAAACACCCTAGGGCAGTCCATGCCTCTAGCCTTGGGCTAAGCAGCCACTACCAAGGACCCCTGGTCCACGCCCGGCCCAGCCCTCCCCCACCCTCCATCAAAGGCAGCCAAGGTATGAGAACCTTGGGTGCGGGGAGATGGGAGGGCGAGGTTGCTTAGGGCTTCTCTCACACCACCGGTGCGGGCCCATTGCCCCCATGGCCTCCGTGGGGGCATGCGCTAGCCATGTGGCCATTCTGGCCGCATCGGAAACAGGTTCCCTTGAAGCCCCGACAGCCGTTGCCGCTGCCCATGGCCTTTGGCATGAAGTGGGGGGAATCGCGGTGAAACGGACGGCTCCCGCGGGCGAAGCCGGTCTTCATACGCTTGAGGGCTGCCATATCCGCCACTGCCATCTTGAAGGAGCGTGAGGTGAGCACCGCCGTAGTCTTAAGGAGTTGGTAGCGCTCAGCCACATCGAATCCGGCATGGTCGGCGACGACCAAGACGTCGAAGCGGCGCTTGATGAGGTCTTGGGCTTGGCCGACGGTTTTAAGAGCACCGGCGGCGTCGCCTCCGCGGATCTTGTGTTCCACGTGTGCCAGGTAAGTCTGAAGCGCCTCGAACACCTCCGCCTGGTCACGGACGCCTTTGCGGTTGAAGGCGGCGGCCGCGGTGGAAGGGTGAGGAGAGGGAAGAGGGGGAGGAGATCGTTAGGCAAGAGGGGCATAGGGTTGTTTGATTCCTCACCCGCATCGCTGTCGGAGTCGGAATCAGAGTCATCGGGTGCAGCGGGTTCATCCTCGACGGCTGGAGCCTTTCCCTTGTCGGTGCGGTGAGATGCGGCAACTCTCGCGGAAGTGGAGACGTTGTTGCGGATGTTTGCAGTTTTAGCGGAAGCGAAATTTTCCGCTTCTGTTGTAGCTGCTGGCGTTGTAACCGGGGCCGCGGTCTGCTTTTGGAGGAGCGCCAGCAGTGCCGCCACTTGCGAGGGCGAAAGATTCGCCGCCGCCCCCTCGGTTGCAGGCGAATCCGTCGCCCTCCGCTTCTGGGTGGCGCGCAGGGGTTTTTTTATCAGAGTAAATTACTCTGTTTCTCCGAAAATCAGAGTGGTTTTTAGGGGGTCACTCTGACGTGTCTGTGTAATTTTTTTGGAAGATTAGTTTTCTCTGATTTGTCAGGGTTCTGATTTTAGCTACTCTGAGACACCAGTGTATATTTGTGGCGAATGTATTTTTCTCTGTACAGGGTATAGGCATTTCGACCAAGCCTTCCCCTCGAATTGGTAGAAGATGGTTAGGCCACCTTGATGGTGTTATATTGTCTGTTGAAAAATTGTAAGCGCGTAGCACAACGGTAATAATTTTGGTGGGAGTGCAGAAGGCCTGGGTTCAATACTTGAGAGGACATTCAGGATCGGAAAAAAAGTTACACTGACTACCCAGAGCATATTTTTCAGAAGTTAAGTTTTCTCTGACAAATCAGAGTAACGCTCATAATTCACCCTGAATTTCAGAGTTCCCTAGAAAACAGCTCTGGAAATCCGAGTAGTGGAAATCCAAAAAAAAGCCTTGGTGGCGCGCGATCCTCCCGCGTCAGCGCCAGTGATGACGACGAAGTCGTCATCATTGGCGATTGCAGGCCCATGAGCCTGCTCGTGGGACGCGCGTGGCTGGGGCGCGCGCGAGCGTGTGCCGCCGCCCTCGCCGAGCAGCACGTCCACCCGAGTGTGGGGCCCCTCGGCGTTTTCCTCGGTGGGGCATTTTCGCTTCTCCGCGCCGGTTTCCCAGTTCGTTTTCTCAAGCCCCGACGACGGTCGAGGAGTTGCGTCCTTAGCCCCGGGGCTATTGTTGTTCGTCGGCGCCATAGTCGAAAGGTTGCGGTCGAGGATGTCGGAGAGGAGCGTCGATGGAGAAGTGAAGCGAGGAAGGCTCTTAGTCCTCGCCAGCTTGGACGAAAAAATCGAGAACTTGAAAACTGAAAAGTTTGAAATGAAAAACGTGGGTGAAGGCCAAATGGCCTTCGCCCCCTCTTTTATACCGAAAAAGAGGGGAAGTAGCGGTTCGCCGAAGCATTTTGCTTCGTTACAAATATCTTCGCTATTCACAATACACAATTTTAGAAAGTGTTACACACTTTCAAAATTTTACATATTGTGAAAGCTTGCTATTTGTCTTGCAAATGCAACGTCTCATTGTAAAAATAATCACTTCCGCGTTATTGCATTCTGCGCACTCTTCTTTTGTACAACTCATAACGAGAATAGAAGTGACCAAAGTCAATGCCACATGGTTCACTACTAAATGGGGGAAAGTGAATGTTGCTGCAGCAAATACACCATATCATATGCCATGTATGTTACAAGAACAAAATAACAAATTACCAAGTAGGTATAGTCAGCAATCCACTATCAGGCAAAGCAGATCTAAATGCTCCAATCAGGGAAGGCCCTACCAGTGAGCTAGGAGGACATGTCTGGAGAGCACAATCAACAAGGGGCCAGGGGAAGTGTTAAATAGTGCTACTGCCAGCGGGACCACACCTACACCAGTGCCCTACGGTAGCGGACTCTCACCCCCGAAATAGGTGCAGTTCCACCAGTACTTATAGCTGGAATAAGTACACCTCCTGGGGCTCTGAGACCAACAGCTGCTTGAGGTCTGGCAGGCGACCCCGCTGCCACATGGTAACCGCGCGCAGCAAAAGCAGTTGTTGTAACAAAGATTGTAGTTGTTGGTCTGCGTGGCAGCCGTCCCTCCCAGCGTGAGCTTCGTTGCAGTGCAGACGTTCTCGCATGTCGTCGTGACAAAAGCGCAGCACTTGCCAATTTCCTCGCCAACCATCTGAGAGCAATCAGCGTCGAGAGGCTTCCAGGCTGGGTACGGGCATGTTGTCCAGGTGCATCCGTATCCGGCGAGCGGCGCAACCCCGGCGCGATTCGTGCATGCGGCGTTGCACCCTGTACACACCCCGTCTTGCACCACCGGCATGGCGTAGTTGCAAACCGCGTCGCAATACGACGGGTACGTGACGAAATCCGCGCCGCACACCGGGAGGGACTCGGCGCACCCGCAGTCAAGAATCCCGACGCGGGAGTCGCAGGGAATGATCAGCGTCTGGTTGACAAAGAGAGGCGAGGTCTCGAGGATGTTGTTCTGGGCGGCGATGTTGACAGGGGAGACTGAGACAGTGGTGCAGCGGGTGACAAACTTGGAGGAGATGAGAGCGAGCGTGTCCCCTTCTTGGACGGTGTAAATAGAGTAGCTTGTGTTGGTTTGAACCATAAGGGTTGCGAGCAGTGGCGATTTGATGCAGACCTTCTGGCCGACTTGCAGGTACGGGGCTTGGCACTGGTAGGGTGAGGGAGGAAGGGGAAAGAGTGAAAATTCACGATAAATTTGGTCAGAGTTGGATGATGGAAAGGAGGATGGACTGGGCTCGGGGTGGACAGAGGCTTGGGGAATGGAGAGAGCTGGGGGAATGGAAGGAGGATCGGTGAATAGGAAGATGCTCGGAGAATGGAAGCAGGCTTGTAACAAAGAGGCAAGGGACAGGACATGCTACTTGTTACAGGAGAATCATGCAGCAAACCTTACCCTGATGCCGGGGTTGATGGCGAGGAAAAGGGGTTCTGTAAGGTTGGCTGCGTTCCAGATGTTGGGGCAGTTGTCGCCCTGCAGCACCGTGTACCATGATGTGCAGTTGACTGTGGTCTGAGGGAGGGAGAGAGAGACAGAGTGCAGCAAGAGGGGGCGATGCAGTTAGAACCTGCCGCACCGAGTACCATGAATGTGCAGTTCACGGTCGTCTGAGGGAGACAGAAGGGAGAGCGTGAGCGAGAGAAAGAGGGAATGGGGAGATAAGGGGACTGTAGCACTGTGTACCCTGCCATGCAGTTCACTGTGGCTTCTTGGGACAGGGATGCAGGGTAGAGGAAGGCAACAGGCGGAGATAGGAAAAATACGAGGTTAGCTAGAATGAGTGCGAGTGTTTGCCAGGATTTGTCAAGGGCATGACATTCCACTACTGCCCTTTACATCCATCGTTCCATCAATTCAGAGGCTTTTCGGGAGTGATGAAGCAACTAGGAAACGGGTTGGAGCGAAAAGAGGTGAAAGAGGCAAGGGACAAGGAATGAGGAATCCAGGATAAAAGGATGTGGAAGGGTAGGAGAAAGTGGGGCCTGAAGAGGCGGTTTATCTAAGAGGTCTTGCAGGGCATTTATGCGAACTCTTACAAACAAAGTGAAAAGGGTGCATACCAGGGGGGTCTTGGGTGCAACGCAGAGGTAGACTCCGATCTTGAGGTCAGTGTCACAGGACAGCGCCGGGTTGAGGCTGATGGGGAAAGCAAGCAAGTGGGGGAAGATGAGAGAGAGAAAGTGAGGCCGGGTGAGGCGACGACTTGTGGGTGGGGATTTAATGGTTTGAAAAAAACACCTAGAGGACATGCTAAACCATCACGAGCTGTATTATAAGCTCACAAACCTGACTATTGCAGGAAAACCTTAGGTAGCATAAACATATATGTACATGCTTTGAAACAGCAAAAACGAAGAAACTATGTAGTCGCGGACCCACAAAAGTGTACCTCATGAAAGTGCTGAGCGCGATGTTGTATTTGGTGGCGATCACGTCGCACGTGTCCCCAACCACTGACGTGTACGTTTGACCGCACTGCGGCACGGTGATCTGAAAGGTTGATCCGGTTTGGAAAGGGGAGGGTTGGGGTGATTCAAACAGTAAATCGGATTCGTGCTTGGAGATTCGCCGATGCTGAAGTGTACACTTGGGTGCACTCAGGCACACAGCCGTACAGTGCAGGTAAAAGGTAGAGCGGAGCGGAAGGGGGAGGCTTTCGTAGGGTTGCAAATGCGTGTAGTATAATACGAGGTAATCTCAAGCAATCAATCAGATCGGGAAAATGAGACTGTCCATCTCTACCCACAGACATGCAATACGGCTTGCACAGACGTCCCCGCGGCGTGTCCCTGTCGAGCAGGGGAAATACCTGGGGGATGGGAAGGCGAGGTGGGGGAAATACCTGGGGGATGGGAAGGCGAGGTGGGGGAAATACCTTGGGGATGGGAAGGCGAGGTGGGGGAAATACCTGGGGGATGGGAAGGCGAGGTGGGGGAAATACCTGGGGGATGGGAAGGCGAGGTGGGGGAAATACCTGGGGGGTGGCCGAGGTTGTGGCGATGCAGATCTGCTGCAGCGGCAGTAGCGACGCGCGGCCAGTCGAGCAAATGAGCGGGTTTGCAGCGGTCAGCGTGGCCACATCGCCGTTAAAATAGGTGTTGGCGAGCGTCTGACACGTGTCCCCATTCTGCACCGTGTATGTGGATGTGCACACCATGGTGCTCGTGCTGGCGCTGGCGGACGGGTTGGATACGAGCAGCACCATGCCTGGTGGGGGGGAGGGGGTCGGGGACGGGGAGGGGGTCGGGGACGGGGACGGGGACGGGGACGGGGACGGGATGGGGGAAGAGGGGGGAAGAGGGGGGAAGAGGGGGGAAGAGGGGGGAAGAGGGGGGACAAAAAGAGGCTCTGACATGGAAGTGCACACGAAGGTGCTCGTGCTGGCGCTGGCGGAGGTATTGGACATGCGCAGCACCATGCCTGGTGGTGGGAAAGTGGGGAAGGGAGTGGGGGAGAAGAGGGGGAGAAGGGGGAGAGGGGGAGGGGAGTGGGGGAGGGGGAGATGGGGCCAAATACCAGAGATTTCGGGTAACTGGTACGGGGAGTGGGGTCGGGTGCGGGGAAGGTGGGCGAAGGAATGGAAGCAGGGAGGTACCAGGGGCTATAAAAGCTAAGCTAGTGAGCCGTTTGGAACGGGTTGACTTTTGAGTCGGACCCAACCAAGAGCCACCTTTTGAGTCAACTCAGTGGTTACACTCACCAGGGGCGATGAAGGCGAGCGAGCAGTCGAGGAACGGGTTGAGGTCGGCGAGAGCGACAACGGAGGTCTTATACGCGCTGGCGATGACGGTGCACGAGTCGCCCGGCACAGTCGTGTACGTCTGTCCCACCGCTGCCGTCGTGCCCACGCCCACGCACGTGATGGTGCCGTCTGACGCTGTGCCGATGGCGTAGCCCTGTGAAAGGTAGCAGGGGAGGGTGCAGGTTCCGGAGAGAGAATAAAATATTGGTGAGTCGCAGAGCGCAGTGGTGCATGTCTGCCCCATGGCCGCCGTCGCGCCCACACCCACCAAGGTGACGGTACCGTCCGGCGCTATGCCAATGGCGCTCTGCTCCCCCTCTCAACAATCACTCACCCACTTCCCCTCCCCCTTGGACCGCCCTGTCAAAGGGGGTGGGGGGGAAGAGGGCGTGTGGAGTGAGAAATGAAGAAGGGGCGACGAGTCGCCCGGCGCGGTGGTGTACGTTTGTCCCACCGCTGCCGTCGCGCCCACGCCCACACAGGTAATGGTGTCGTCTGACGCTGTGCCAATGGCATAGCCACTGAACATGCTGGCGTGACTGTGCCCCTCACAGCAGAAACACTAAGGACTGATCGCGAAAACGTTTGCGAAAGAGTTACTGGCACGCGTATGTCCCAAGGTGACCGTTTGCGAAAGGCTCTCTCGATAAAGGTTACTCGATAATGTCACTTACCGCAGGGCACTGGCACATGTACGTCCCGTCGCCGGGATTCCGGCACACGCCACTCCCGCACGGGTTGAACAGCTCGCGGCTCGTGCACGGGTAGCGCGGCACGCACTTAGCCGTTGGCGTGGACAGCACCTCCACCATGTTCGCCAGCCCTCGGCAGTCGCAGCGCGCGATTCCGCGCAGCGTGTAGCAGCGGCCGCCGCCGCAGGGGTTGATGAGATTCGCGCACGCGTCGACGGGGCCGTTGTAGCCGCGCGACCACCACTTGCCGTCGTATCCGTCGTCCTGGCGGCGGTACGGGCCGTTGGCGATCTTGACGGGCTCGGGACCCGCGTAGTAGACCGGGTACATGGCGGGGATGCTGGGGGGGGAGGGGGGGAGCGGAATGGGGAAAGCAATGTTGTGAGGCGTCGACGGGGCCGGTATAGCCGCGCGACCACCACTTGCCGTCGTATCCGTCATCCTGGCGACGGTACGGGCCGTTGGCGATCTTGACGGACTCGGGACCCGCGTAGTACACGGGGTACACGGTGGGGATGCTGGATGGGGAGGAGGGGGAAAGAGCGGAGGAGAGGGAGAGCGAGAAGGGAGAGAGGGGCGCGGGAGCGAGAAGCGGGAGCGGGAAAAGGGGGAAGCAAGGTTGTGAGGCGTCGAACAATGCAGGTGCATTTGACGGGCTCGGGACCCGCATAGTATGGGGAAGGCATGTTGTGCGGCGTGGCGTGTCAAATCACGGGTTCGAGCGGAAAACTAAGAAATATACGCAAACGAAGTGAGAGTGGGGAGGGGATGGGGGGAGGGGGGGAAGGGAGGTTAGGGAAAGAGAAAGCGCGTAAGAACGAATGCGCAAACAAGCAGTTCCCGCGTCGACCACGACTTACGCGTGCAGCCCGCATTTCCCGCGAACGTCGGGCGTCATGGCGAGGTACATGTAACCCACGTCGCCCCACGTGTTGAACCACGAGTTCTTCAATATCCAATAGCTGCCGTCCAATCCCGGCCCCGTGTAGTTATACCCGACCACCAACACCGCGTGGTTAATATCCGTTGTGCACGTGCCGTCGTAGATCTTAACCTTCCCGCGCGACGAGTAGTACTGGAAATCGTTAGCGTTGCCCGACAGAAACGCGATGGTTGGCTGCATACTAACGGCCTTCATGAGCGCCATGGCGTTGTACGGCGGGACCAGCTCCCACCCCGTGATTTTCGCCGCGAGCGGCGTCGACGCGTTCGCGTTACAGACGACGCTGTCTTCTGCGAGGTAGGGGTAATCGTCGAGAGAAGCGATGCCGCCATTAAAGAGGATATAGGAGAAGGCCCAGTCGGGCCAGCCGCCCTTGCAGCACTGCTTCGTCGCGCAGTCGCACACCTGCTGCGGCGACAGCAGCTGCGGCGTCGTGTTGTTGATGATCGCCCACATCATCGAGACGGAATCGACGGCCACGATGGTCCAGCAGCTCCCGCACTGCGCGCCGAGCCATCAATACAATGGGGGGAAGATGTGAGAGAAGAGTGAGAATGAGCAACGGGGAGGGGGTGGGAACGGAGAAGACTAGAGTCGGCCTTGGGAGAGCAGAGGGAGGGAAGGGAGGAGGGAGACAAGAAGGAGACGAGCTATGGTTGTGGTTGAGTGGAATAAGTTAAGGACGAAAACTAACACAATGTCGGTTGAAGACACGTCGCTTAGACTCGATATAAGCACACGAACACAGACGCACGAACCTGGTACTGTCGCTGTATCGGCGAGATGTACATGGTCTGGCGCCAATCCACAAACGCGTTAGGCGTTACCGAGTCCCACCGGAAGAAGGTGTTATTCACATCCGCCATACTCGGTCCTGAGTTCAAAAGCGGAGGCTTCAAACCGAGCTTCTTCGCGGCGCGCCCCAGCTTGCGACGGTGACCTTCGCCGCTATCGTTATCACTTTCTTCGCCGGCTTCGCCGTCGCTAACGTCGTCCACCTCGTCGTGAACGAGCAGCATCTGTTCGCTCAGCCGCGCGGCGTGCAGCCTGGCCCTGGCGTCTGGGCTCAACGCGGCGGTCTCCGCCATGGCCTGCTCGAACCGCGTCGGCAGCGGCTTCTGCGGCGTGAGGTCCGCTTCCGGGAGATCCGATACTGCTGCCGCCAGACCCGCTAAGCATGCCACCAGTACTGCTATATGTTTTAACGACGGGGAAACGCAGCGCCGTAGTAACTCCATATTAGACGATTGGTATGTCGCTTAGTACAGTCTTTGGAGTTCACAATGTATGAATTTGGAGAACAGTTAGTGGGGAATTGTAGCCAATGAAGCTTGAGTGGCGGAAGTTCAACAGATTTGCTGGTTAGCGAAAGGAAAGTAGGCTCAGAACGAAAGGCGATACGGCGGCGTTGTCTGATTGAGTTGTCGATGTCCTAAGGCGACGTTGTCTGATTGAGTTGTCGATGTCCTTAAGGATGAACGGCCGCTCAGGCGCGACGAATGCTGTCTAAGGATGGAAGCAGCAGCTTGGTACGTCACGACCTTAACTCACTCCACGAATGTTATAGCCTTCACAATGCAGGACGCGACGTGGTTGTGAATCGTGTTCTGCAATTATCAAGCCTTATCTGGACGAAATGCGCTGTGAGCAAAGGATGCTCCCGTGTTTTACGAACACTCTTTTCGTCCTGCTGCTGTGTTGTGTCAGTTGTGCTGGCAGGAGGTAAGTAGGGTTCGTTGGCGCCTACACGGGATGTGCAGTACAAGGCATACTTCAAGCCTGTATATAAGTTTAGTATTACCAACGACTCAAATATACTACGAGTGCCTGCCAGATGTCACAGTTACCAAGCCCGTCAACATGCGATTTGAGCAGAAGTATTGCAAGTTACCAGGAAACGGTAGAAGCGAACACCGCACCACCCTCGCCCCGGTTTGAAAACAGTTTCGTAGTCGCTGTTTCACACAGTTCATATTTCATTCATTATTGAAAAAGCTTTTGACTACTAATACATCTGATGCAAGACTGGTGTAGATTGGTGGTGTAGCTGTGTTGCTGCTTGTATTCTTTGGCACTGCCGCACGGGTGTTTCGGGCAATACACCAGGGGCCTTGTTTGGGTTGTGGAAAAATAAAACACCACCCCAACTTTTCCGTCCTTCTCCACCCCATATCGTATTCATGCCCTTGATGTGTCTGTGACTAGGTGGGACCTCACAAAGTGGTGCGGTGCTTTTCCTAACCTTTAACAAACATTGTAGACTGGTATAGCCTGGTTCAAGTCTAGCAAGCACCATACCAGTTGGGAAATTAAGTTTTCCAAGGGGGGAACTCACAGCTGCCATTGCTGGTGGCGACTGCACTGTTATGTGCCCGCCGCGCAGGTGGCAGGGGCAGATCCAGCACCAAAATGCCCTCGAGCGATACTGTTTAGCATGTGGTGTCGTCTTCAGGAACCATTTGACATGTTCTCTGACAGAACCTGCTCGATGACCAGATTGTTCTCTTCTTACCTTTCGGATACTCAAAACTCTCAAACGAACATACAGGGTAGGAACTCAGGAAGTGTAGTCTGACAGGGAGTGTACTGCAACTGCCAAGCCTTCATGTCGACAAGCAAATTCCCCCAACTCCCCATTCTTCAAGATAGTATCGAAGAATTTTAACTGCCCACGACTCTGTAAGCTACTTTGTCCGCCACTGCATGACCCAGAAATCAGTTGGTAAGAAGTAACGCCAGAAATACACTTTCGATACGCGTCAGCGTCCTCTTTATTCACAAAAGATGTAAACATTATGCATAATGAGAGTCAAATTGTTCTGAGCTGTATACAACATAACGTGTACAGAAATCAAATTTTCTGTAGTGATTACACCCTCTTTCGCGCTAGTAGAGCACCTGGTTGGAGAAAGTACATGGATTGTAGAACGTCACCACGTTCAGAATGGTCTTGTCACCTACTGTACAAGCACAATGCGAAGAATGCGGTTAGGTAAGGTTATGCACTTTACAAAAAGCGTTGTCAACGTTTTCATCTGTTTGGGAAAGTTATGAAGCGATTACGGAGATTTTACGTCCTTGAGCCAGTTTGTCACGTGGTCCGGCTTTCCCCCCAGGTTGCCTAGGAACGTTTATTGGCACCAGATCGCATGTGACAAGTACTGTAGCGACGAGTCGCGCAAGGTGAAAAGGTTGAGAAAGAGGGTGTACAACGCCCTATCATACAATTGAGGATTACGGCAATTATAGTGAGGGACTTTTAGCTAAGAAGTTGAGGTTGGGCACTGGTCTAAGTACGGAAGGTCAAGACTGAAAGCCTAAATTATTGTAAGGGAGAATTTAGAAAGCTTGCTTTCTTGCATGTAGCAATTGGCATCGTCTCATTTCAAATGCAATTGGCATCGTCTCATTTCAAATGGGTTTAGTACAATTGAAATCCATAGTGATATTACAAAGATATGCCTCTATGTTCCTACGGCTATCCTGTTTCCGAGGGGGGGGGGGGGGGGGGCGGGAAAATCGGCTAAACCGTTTGAGAATGAGAGACGTGGGTGGAGGGAAATGACCTCCAGCCCACGTTTTGTACTCCAAAACGGGCGTTTAGCGCGGCTCGACGCTGCCAAATCCTACATTACAAGCAGCTTCGCTTTCAAAATACATAATTTTGAAAAGCGTTACAGCTTTTAAAAATATACATATTTAAAAAGCTTGCTTTCTTGCATGTAGCAATTGGCATCGTCTCATTTCAAATGGGTCTTCTGAGACATGTGTCGTGCTGGTTGGCGATGTCGTGTCAGCGCCGCGGAGTGTTGCGTCGGTGACGAGGCTCTTGCCGGATCTTGGACATGTCGAGATGCTCCAACCAACTGTTCTATCGCCGGAGTGATGTACATCTCCTTGGCCGTATCGCTGCGCCACCTCCCCAGCTGTTTCAAAATGCGATCAGGTACTCCTGCGTTGGCGGCGACGGTTGCTGCGCCTTTGCGGAATGAGTGGGTTCCGAGGTGCTCGAGTCCTAGGCCAATCTTGTGAAATGCCTCCTTGCACCAATTGTGGATTGTTGTATAGGAAGGTGGTGTTGTCGTACTAACGCGACCCGTAGTGTCTGAACCAAAGACTCGTATCAACGGGCCGTATTGTGCGCGGCCATAGCCTGCCAACTCGATGAAGCGTTTGGTGCATTGTACGGGGCAGAAAGGGCCCGGACTGGCGGCTACTGGGACCCATGCGCCTTCTCCTGCCTGGTCTGTTTTAGAGTGGGGGATCAGGAGCCACATAGCGTCTTTCTCGAACTCAATCTCGTGCCAATTGAGTGCGACGAGGTCTGAGTATCGCAGGAAGCTGGCGTACATGAGTAGTGGGATGAGCCCCTTCTGAAACTCGCCCGGGTTGTTCGATTTCAGGAATTCCGCCGCCATTGCATGTACTTGATGCAGCAAGATGGGATCCTTGAGTCGTTGAGGTCGCGGACAATGTCGCTTGGCGAAGTCTCGCACATTGGATGTGAACGGCCCGGTCGACGGGCACGTGGCCCCAATCATCCGATGCGCGAAGCTGACTGCCGAGCATGTCAGTTGTATTGCTGATATGGTGGCCTTCTGTTGAATCGCGTGGACCAGGTATAATGCGAGTGTCATGTCTGTGCATGGCAGGAACTGCAGTTTCACGTCTATGCAGAATGCTCGGAACTTGGCCCAGTATGGTTCGTAGGTGCGAATGGTGGAGTCAGCCCTTGTATGCGTCGTTATCCGAAGCAACTCTTGCTTGAGCCGCTCGAGCAATCCTGCACCAGATGTGTGAATGGTCAGGTGGCGAAGGACACTTGTAATGCAAGAATCGGGCTATGAGGCAATCCTTCCCCAGAAAATGCGTGAGTGTGGGTGCCTGCGGTCAGGCACTCGCTCCCATGGGCGAGGCAGATATGAGCGAGAATGCAGGCGGCCCATTGGGGCGGGGCGGGTTGTAGTAACGGCCACCAGCTTGCCCCTGGCCAATGAGGCACGACGAGCGTGAGCGATGCTCGCGTCCTTTGGGCGTGATGCAACACCGCTGGGATGAGGTGGGGTGGCGGAAACGCATATGCATGCTCGGGGGCCCATGATATGGAGAAGGCGTCCGTTGCCTCTGCGTCAGGGTGAGGAGTTTTGGAGCAGAAGCGAGCCAGCTGGGTGTTGTTCGCATTGGCAAATAAATCGATTGAGTGCGGTCCCAAGCGCCGCTCGATGAGCCGGAACCATGGTGCTTTGATTGCGTAGTCGTCGCGATCGATCATCTTTGAAAGTTCATCCGCTCGTGTGTTGAGTTCGCGCGGAATCCATTCAACTGTCAACCGGATCCCAAAGGTGACGCACGCTTGAATGATGGCTCTGCACGTTGTTGTGAGGCTCGGGGTCCGCGAACCACCTTTGCGAAGAATAAAGAAGACACCTTGATTGTCGGTTCTGGCGAGGACATGTCGGTGCTGGATCCTTCCCGAGAATGTCTGCAATGCCCATAGGACTCCGTCCATTTCCCGTTGTGTGCTGGAGGCTGTCGTGAGGTGCACGGGCATGGTCGCGCTCGCCTCGATTCGCCTCCCTGGAAACATATCTAGTGTCGCTCCCCAGCTGTGTGCGCTGGCGTCCACATGGATTACTGCGTCATAGCTGTTCGGGACATGGAATGGGGCTCCATTGAATCTGTCAAATTCATGTAGCCAAAACTCGAGCTCTTCGATGACCGCAGGGACCAACTGCACTTTGCTGTTCCAGGAAGGGGCATCCTGAATGGTCTGTAGTAGATTCTGGCTGAATGCGCGCGCGGTTGCGCCGATGGCAAGCGACATCGACGCGAGCATGCCGGTAACTCTGGCATCGACACAAATTTTGGTTCACCCTTCGGAGGTCAAGAATCAGTCGACACTTTTCTCTTTGAACCACCACATTTAGCGGGCTGATGCATAGCTGTTGTTCCGCGGGGGCGGGTGTGGCCGCACCACTCTCGAGAAGCTCGGTTATTGCCTGCTTGGTGAACGTGGAATGGATTAGCGCTCCCGCGTGGTTGTCTTGCCGGAACGGCGTGGGTGGTCCATGCTTCCATGGCATCCAGTAGCCATTGGCGATCACCGAGAGTATGAAACTGCTCTCGCACCACGAGCTCCACCATGGAAATGCCGTGCGCAGGCGCCCACGCTTGGTCGTGACGAGCTTGTCAGTGACCGCGAACTCATAGGGGCCACCCCCCTCGATCGTTCCACCCC